GTAATATTCATCGAAAAGATAATTCATATAAAAAAATTGATCAGAAATCGGTAGTTACATTATTGGATTACATTTGTCTCATACAATTGAACAATAAATATGATTTTTAGAATAGACCTTTAAAATAGATGTAATTCGATTATATAACTATCGATATTCAATTAATTTAATTTATTTATTTTTTTTTTTTGTATAAATGCTTGTGTCGATAAGTTTTAAAAAAATGAATGCTTCAAATCATTCTAATTAGATTTCAAAATGAACCCACTAAGTTAAATAACACCTCTCTAATTGGATCACCAAGGAAAGATTTGTATCACAAAATCAATTATAGAATAAGGAAGATTAGATAGTGTTGTTAGACTTTTGGAACTTATTACGAATTTTGTTTTAATAATTCGAATCGTTTGGTATGTAGAGTTTGGTGAATACTTTATATTTATAAAAAATCATGTTGATTAGATATCGATAACTATTTGATCAAATCAAATTTTTATCAATAATTTATTTTGAAAATTATATTTATTGTTAACAGAAATTTAATTCGATCAATATAATTTTTTACAAAATTAAAATACTCGATGAGATTATAAAAACAAAATTCATAATAGACTTTCACAAGTCTAATAGCACCCTCCAATCTAATTTCACAGAGCTCCATAGAATAAACATATGGCCTCGTTTGTTTTCAGAGGTAGAATGAAGGGGATTGTTAGTGAGGGGATTGATAGTGAGGAAATTAAGCAAAATTGTGTTTGTTTTGATGATAGTTGTTAGTGTAGGAATTGTTAAATTATTTTTATATAAAATAATAAAACAAATAAAAAATATAAAAAATTAAACATTAATATTTAAAAAATAAAAATCCCAATATATAAAAAATAAAAATAATAAAAAAATTACTAATCCCTCACTATTTTTTTAATAACATCTCCACCTCCTCCATCTCAATCCCCCCTCCAACCTCCATGTATATCACCTTCTCCATCCCAATCTCCTCACCAACTTTATAAACAAACATAACACTAAATAATCTCACCTCTATCCTAATTCCCACCCATCTATTTAACCCAAAAATAAACGGACTTGTGAGTTCCGCAAGTAAATGATTTTGCAAAAATAATTTGGTGCAGGTAGAACAATTGTTATACTTAATAGAGAGTATATTGTCACATTCATTTGCTTAGATGGGAGGTAGAACAATTGTTATACATTTTGACTTTTTATAAAAAAGGATGCATAAAAAACTATTTTTTTTTTTTATAAAAAGATGTATAAATTTTTTTTAAAAAAATAGTGCAATAATTTATAATATTTTTTTTTGGATAAAATACGTGTGTTTGTTTGGACGGACTGGATAAAGGGGATTGGAATCCATCGGACTGTTTGTTCTAGGATATATTGTCCCTAGATTATTTGGTTGGACTGAATTTATATCCTATGTTTGTTTAGTTATGAGATTAAATGTCTGGATTGAACTATTTTATTGAATCTTATTTTTATTTGGAATATTATGGAGAAGGATAAATACTCAAATAACTATTTTATTCTTTTCAATTATTTACTAAGTAATAATAATATCAAACATATCTTTAATATTTTAATTATTTTTAACTAGATTAAATAATATTTTATTTTATTTTATTTTTTTGTACAATTAAATAAATTTATTTTTTTAAAATTAAATAAATAAAATATCAATAAAAATATATGTTATTTTTTAATTAAAATTTTAAATAAATTTATTTTAAAAAATAATAATAATTAAATAATGAAATTAAATAAAACATTTATTAAAATTTAAATAATGAAATTAAATAAAATATAAACAAAATTTTAAAATAAAACATCAATAAAATATCTATAAAAAATTATTTTAAAAAATTAAATAAATAAAACATCAATAAAAATTAAATAAAATTATTTTATTTTTAAATTGAGACATTTAAATTTTATTAAATTTTACTAAATATAATACATAATTAAATAGCAGAGGGTCAAAATAATCATTTCATCATTTAATCCCATATCCTCCTTATCCCGCCCTTTGTGTCCCGCCCCCATGGAACATAATAATCTGACATATTTGAGACTAATAGTTCAAAATAAAAATTTTAAATCAAACAATGAACCGGTAGTTCAATCCCATTACTTAATCTCTCAAAATAAATAACTAAATAAGACTTTAATAGAGAGAGGCTGTGTTTGGTTATACTTTCAAACTATAATTTCATCCCTACATTCCAATGCCATGTTTGGTTTGAGTTTTCAAAAGTTAATTCCAGCGCCCATTTGAAAACATGCTGAAATGTGTGTTTGGTATCTCTCTCTCTCTCTGTCACTCTGTTTTTATGTGTGTGAGATGACAAATTATGGGTGTTTTCACTCTCTTCCCTTTCTCTCTCCCTCTTTCCAACCAACCCATAGCGTGGAATCAAATATGATGGTGTCTCGTAACTGGGTTTTTTTTTATCAAATGCAGCTCTGAAATAAAGCATATTGGGAGTTTTTTTTTTTTTTTTGAACGAAAAGAGTTACACAGAAGCCCTCACAGGAGAAGAGCATCAATCCTAACAATTTCAGAGAGAGCCATTGGAGGGTTTGAAACCCAACTTACATGAAGGTCATTATGGACACAGGCTTGTGCTACCCAATGGGTAGCCCTATTGTTAGTTCTATTATTCCATCTCAACTGTAGGTAGGTAGATTAGGAGTTAGAATTTTCCACTTACTTTTCAAAACACGTCTATCAGGTCGTCCTCCCGGACATCCCCGGATGTTTGGCCGGTTGACCGGAACAATTTTTTTTTTTTTTTTTTTTTGCAAATGGCACCTGTTATTTGGAAGAAAAAAAAATGGGAATTTGTTTTTGATTTTTTTTTAACAAAAATAATATATTTTTTATATTTTAAATCAAAAATATTTAAAAATAATAATTCGAATCAAATATACAATGAATCAGTAATTGAATATTTATTTTGAAAAAAAAAATTATTTCATTTGTAATATTTTCAATTAAAAAAATTGATTAATGTTATTTTTTTGTTAATAATTAGTTTTTTTAATTGAATTTTAAAAAGAGTTTAGTTATAAATGTTGGTCAGAATTTTTAATAGAGTTTTGAATAGTATGTTTGGATATGAGTTATAACAATTTAAATTAAGTTTTGAAAACTCTTTTCAGAACTCATAACTAAACAAATTTTCTTATTTTACATGTCACATTAAACATTCAAAACTCAATTCAAAATTCTTTTTAAAACTAATAACTAAATAAATTTTTTATACTTAAATCATAATTTTAAAATTTATAAACTCAAAATATAATTTTATTCTCAAATCATATTTAGCCTCCGTTTGGGAAGTGGGTTAGCTTTTTGGCTTTTTGGCTTTTTTGGCTATTTTAGCCTGGGCTTAAAAGCTTAGTTTGGGAAGGACTTTTTGGCTTTTTTAAGTTTTTTTGTGAGAGAAGAATGTAATGATTATGGGTTGGATGTGATGTTTTGTTTGTTATGGTTAAAATAGCCTATTTTATTTTTTATGGCTAAAATAATCAAAAAAGCCTCCAACCCACCTTCCCAAACGGTGCCTTAAAAAACTCTACGAAACGCAACTTGTGTTATTGCAACACTCATTTGTCTAGAGTGGATACTTTTTTCTTTATAGATAGGACGCATGCAATAAGCGGCGCTGAAACCTTTGATTTGAAACCATTTTACATTATGTCGGTGTTTGGAAAGTAGGTGTTTTTATAGATTTTTTTAGTTGTAAGATATTATTGAAGAAATTTTTTTTTGTGTTTGAGAAGATAGTTGAGTTTTTTGTGATTGGATGTAATATTTGTGAGAGAAAAGTGAAATAATTATGGAATTTGATATGATATCTTGTTTGGATTTATTATTTTTAGTTTTGTAACTAATTTGTCTTTTAGTGAAAAAAAAAAAAAAAAAACCAAAAAATTTCATCCCAAACACCGCCTAATGGGCTGGTTTCAACAGTTGGTTATTTTATCAACAATGATACATCCTACTAATTTGGGAATACTAATTTGGGAACACTAATGAACCACTAATGAGGTGGAAATTCAAAAAAAAAAAAAAAAAAAAAAAACTTAAGGCCAAAACATCACCCACTCTCTAAAGCTCATTTAGTGCTCCCAATTTAGAGCTCCCAAACATTTTTCTTATTTTATTTAGTTTGTTTTAATTATTTTAATTTAGTTAAAAAAAATTATATTTGAGATGATAATTAATTTTTTAAAATTAATTTTATAATTATGAGAAAAAATAAAATAATTATGATTTGATTGTGACATTTTATTTTATTAACTATTTTAACATAAATCTAAGTTGCCAAACAACCCCAATATTTACGGGAAATACTATGATATACATAAAATTTTCTAAATTAAAAGATAGGGGTGTTTTGGGAACTTGACTTTTAGCCACTTTTTTAGGTTTGTAGTAAAAGCTAAAAGTTAGTTTTTTTGTATTTTTTTTTCATTTGGGAAGTTAGTTTTCAGCTATTGGTGAAATCACAATTCTACCCCTCATGAATAAAAATGTGTTACATGGGTGACGTTGTAAATATTTTAAATTAAATGGGGATAGTTTAGTCATTTTATTGTGATTTGACATCATAAACAAATATTAATCAAAAAAACCAAAAACAACTTTCTACCAACTTTCCAAATCGTTTATCTAAAAAAACCAAAAGCTTGATTAAAAGTCAAAAAATCATTTTTTACTATCTTCCCAAAATAGGTCATACTAATATGTATATCATATCTAAATTATGTTATTTGTGAGTTTGATTATTATAAATGATACAACTCAATATTATGAGAGTCATAATTAAAAAAAATATATACTTATAATTAAATATCACATAAATTATAACCAAACAATTCTTTGAATCAAAATTTTATCATAATTAATATCTTAATATATCATAACTAACAGTAAATCAAAATTATTGACTCAAAAGCCGTAACCAAATAGAATTTTCCAAACTTTCATGTTGCTATCAATCAAGAACACAACCCAAAAACTCTATATATATGGGTATGTACTAGAGCGAGAATTCATAAGATAATATAACGAAAAGTAGAGAGGGAGGGAGGGAGGGAGATATTTGATGTGTGTTTCAGATTAACTTAACTGTCTTTGCTTCTTCCTTGGTGTATTGGTGTAGGTTTTGTGAGATGGGTTGGAGATATAAAGCTGGGTTGTTTCTCATCCTCACTGTTATCATCATGTGGGTGTCATCTGCAGAAGTCGCTCAGGTCAGTTGCACTGTCTGTCGGTCTGTCTCTGTGTGTGTGTGTGTGTCTCTCTCTCTCTCTCATATTTCAAATTCAATCTTTTTTTTTTTATGATGATAATTTGATTTAAAAAAAAAAAAAACACTGGTTGAGTTTCATTTGACATAATTTGCATAAAGTGATGGCCAATGATTTTTTTGTATTCAAATATTCATTTCACTGTTCAAAACATTTACAATTATTGAATTGTGTGAAAAATCGACATATATTCAATAGTTATAAATATTTTTAGATAAAGGCATTTGAACACAGAAGATTCCTGACCGAAAATAAGTACTGTTTTGATTGCTGCTATTAGAGCCCGAGGTTTACAATACTTCATGGTTCGTACTGAGTTTCATTGTACGTCTTTCTATAATAAAAGGACAAAAAAATATGATCATATATCCAATTTGCCCTCCTAACACCTTAGAGAAATTCAAGTCCAGATTTTTTTTGTTTGAATTGAGTAAGTGTTAGAATCATATATCAAACTTGAAGCAGTTCCAGATAAGACTTGTTGAGTTAAGTTGAGTTTACAATATCATTTCGATGACGATCGGTCCATTAGATAGAACTGTCACTATTTTTGCTCGTCATATAATAATTGATTATGACCCATTATTTTTCTAGGTCAAGCTTAGTCGTCATGGCTTTCAAATAAATCTATGCTGAACTAAACAAATGTAAATGGTAAATAATAAGTTTTTAAATATAAAATCGGATATACAAATAAATAAATGAAATTTTTAAAAAGTAAACTTTACTAACAAGTTATATGAAATTTTGTCCATCTATATACTTTTTGTGTATGTTTCTATATTTTTGACATTGTTATATGATAAATTGCCAACCTTTATGTTGTTCGATATTGAAATAATGAAATATAATATTCATACTCGTCCTTTAATAAATATATATTTGTAGAATCTAATTATAAAATGAGACATAATTTTCTCACAAGATAAGGTCCACACACTTGATGGCTCTCATCATTGAAAGGATTGTGATTGAATTATACACACTTCAAAATTTTCATATATATATATATATGAAACTTGAACGATCTTTAGTCTATAATTAAGACTACACTATATTATTCGAGTTCATGAGATTCATCATGAGTCATATTTTTATTTTGCAAGGTCCTTATATATATATATATATATATTGTAAGATAAATGCAATAAAATTAAGAAATTACGATGATAATTATCGAATTAACTTATTTTTTTATAATAATATACACAAAAAACTAACAAATAAATAATTTTGCTCATCAAAACAAGATGTCTAATATATCTCACAAACTCTCTCTTTTGGATAGATAGTATACTGTGCATGCAACACCTTTTTCTCATCATGATCTAAAATTTCAACATAATCAAATCCTCTTACATCATATTATGGAGCCATTCATGGATTATGCCGCAAGACGTGGAGTAAAGTGGGCCTGGACACTGTCATTAAATTTCTGTGTTTATTTTGTCAAATATTAAAATTTTCAAAACACATGAATCTTGCAATATAATTTAATACATTTAGTGCTTTTAAAATAGAGAATAAAAAATTTAAAAATAAATAAAAGTCTATACTAGTCAAAAGTGTCAATTTTAATTTTTTAATTTTTTTCAATGAACAATGAATGAAACACTAAAAGTACGGAAAAGTTTAGTAATTGGACAAATTTGCACTATAGTTAGTGCTTACAAAGGTGGCCACTTTGCCACGAGTGGGTGGATGTCTAACAACAATTTGTTTTTATTTGGCATCCAATCACATTGTATTATTGAACACTTTTATGAATAGTTTGCCTCTAATGATTTGAAATATTCACACAGGATTTTAAAGGACATTGATTCATCTGTCCCACTTCCTATACTATTTTTTGTCTCATATTTTTTTTTAATTATTAATTTTGATAACATAATAATATGAGATACATAAGTTAGAGAATGAGACATGACTGAGATAGATGGATGATTTAGACTCGTTTTAGGATATAGTTTTTTCTATGTATACAAAATTTGATCACAGAATCGGATATAACTCTCACATATAAGGGATATAGGATTTTTGAATTGTGAGCCTCGTGCATATTTGTCCTAAGCCTATTTTTATTATTTGAACAGTTCATATTGCAACATTTATTGAGTAGATCGTCCATAAAAAAGTTAGATTAATTGAAAATCTGTATCCTTATTACAAGAGTACATTTGTTCTTAAAAAAATAAATGGCTAGTTTGATTTTTATATTTTTTAAAAAATAATTAAGGCCTGATCATGGGATATAGATGTCCAATTAACCTAATTTTTTTTTCACAAATAATATGTTCGACAAACTCTATAATATAAATGATCACAAAACCTCACAATAAACTACTGTGCCTTATGGATCCAATAGCTACTCCCAAGTGGAACTCACTCATTTAATTAATCCAATTGCACTATGTGCATCCTCCAACTCCTTCCAATTGTCAAACAATATTTAGATCCTTAAATATTTGGCAATTCGAGGATCACTTAATGCAGGAAAAAGTAACAAAAATGATTCGATGCATAAGGATTGTGCTAAAGCATATAGGGGACAATAAACGATCGAAAGTGATAAGCGAAAATGATCGAAAATATTGGGGAGAATAATTTTTAATGAGACTATTTTCATAAGTCATACTTTGAATTGGACAAAACCACTATTCTAGAATTATTTAATAGACTAAAAAAAATTCAAAAAAAGTGACCAGGAAAAGCAAGTTTTGCAAGTCCACCAAATAAAATATGTTATCTCAAGTGAATTGTTATAGCTTCCCTATCCTATGGTCCTATTAGTGTGTGTTTGCTTCTTTTTTTTCTAGCAGATAATGATTAACAATAGAAACTTTACATTTTACACAATTGTAATATAATCTGCAATTTCAGCTGTGTAGTTAACTTATGCCCTTAAATCATATGTTAACAAATTTTAGAAGATTATAATTTGTTCATAATGATAAGTTTAAGCTTCATAAAAGATATATTGTAAAAATTATTACAAAGACATAACTGGTTGATTGACAACACTTACGATCAAAAGGCCTGTTGGCCGGTCATGCTTTTTTAATAATTTTTGTAAATTTTTTTTCATGATACATAACATTATTATTCTTCATAAAAATTGTGCAGAAGAATATAATTTTAAAAACCTTTTAATATGTGTCTTAATGCTATGTTTGATTAGGGAATTTGGAAAGAGATTTAAAAAGGGAAAGGAAAAAGGTAGATAAAATATGAATAAAATATATTTACATTTTACCTAATTTTACACATTTTTTTGTTTTTTTTTTTTAAATCTCTTCCTAAATCCCCCTACCCAAACACAACTGAAGTGTATATTTTAGCAAAATTTTAATACAAAGTGCTTCATGACATTTCAAAAATTACACTAGTGTCTGTCTTTTTTAATATAATGAATGGAAAATATACAGTGACCAAAATATTATAAACTGAATGATAAAATTATTATAATACCCTCGTCTTCTTATTATTTTGTGTGTTTTACTTTCCTCTTCCTCCTTTAGGATTTCTATTTGACAAATTTTCACTTAGTTAAAAATTAATCGTTTAAATATAAATTATGGATAAAAATGAGTTGTTCAAAATGCAAACCATATATTTTTGTTCAATAATTATTATCTAAACAAAAAAAAAAAAAAAAACTAAATTAAAAATTTTATAGTGTGTAAATAGAAACTCCCCTCATCCTTTCTTAAAACAATAAATCAAGATAGAGACAGAAAACCAACTGGAAAAATTAGCGAAATATTAACTTTGGGTAGAAGGAGATATCTAATTTTATTTTTTTTATAAAATGTCTCTGTGATCATATCAGATTAGGGCGAAATTTTTGCGTCGAGATAAATTCTCCGTGTCGAATTTTCTCTATGAAATATTGAAAAATCCCAACTGCTACAAAAATATTGTATGTTTTTTATCTTATAAAATTTTAATATCGGGGACATTAAAAAAAATTCCCCTACTAACAACAGAATAAATAATATAAAATATAAGATAATTAAGATCAATTATAATCATACAAATCATATAGTAGGATCCATAGTACAAATGCGAACCCGCCACCCCACCCCAACCCAACCCTCACCATTTTTTATTTTTTTTATAATTAATGATAATTAAAAGATAAAATAAATTACAAATATATCTCTTAAGATTTATTTAAAATACAAATTATCCATGTGATTCTAGAAATTACATCTTACCTTTCTAGATTTCTAATCACATAACAAAAGACCCAACCCAACCCTCACCATTTTTTTATTTTTATTTTTTTATAATGAATGAGAATTAAAAAATAGAATAATTTACAAATATATCTTTTGAGATTTATTTCAAATACGAATTGCCCATGTAATTCTAGAAATTACATTATACCCTTTCAAATTTCTAATCACATAACAAATGACCAATTTTATTAGTAAATCATCAAGGCAACTAAAAGTTTTTAATGTTATCAAAAATATATTTTAATTAATAATTCAGATAATTTTATTGTTGTATAAAATAGTAGTTAGGAAAATCAGTTTTCTATTCATTTTGTTAAATAATTTTTTTTGACAAAAGAATATTTGTAATTTATAAAATCACAAGAAACAATTAATATTTTAAATAAATCTTAATAAGTATTTATAAAACGGAAATGCTAGAGACCCCAGCATTTTGGCACCCCCAGCACCCCCAGTGCCACATGGGGGCTGCCAATGGCCAAAAACAAAGAAAAAAAAAAAAAAAAAAAAAAAAATTTTTTTAACCAAACACCACAAAGGACCCCCAGCACCCCACTGGGGTCCCAAGCTTTATTCTTTATAAAAACAATACTAAGAATTATTATAATATATTTTTTAGTAATATATATATATATATATAATAAATATAATTGGCAGGAATCGGATAGAGCGGGAGTATAAAATGACAAGTGTCAATGTTGACTTGTCACACAATTATGTGGGCCGTACTTCCTCACTCCTGGTTTGAATTGATTTATGGGTTTGATTCGGTGGTAGTTTTACCGTTTGATGAATGTTCCCAACTGGGTTTGCTGAAAGAAAAATGTTTGAGGCTATAAAAAGTTGGCTCAAATGGCTTAAAACTGCTAAAACGACGTCGTTTTGCGTCGTTTTACGCCCAAAACGACGTCATTTTAGCAGTTTTTAGCCATTTGAGTTACACTTTTTGTGACCCTCTACCATTGCTCTTGCTGAAATTTGTATAAGTTTATTTGAGAAATTATTGGAATTGAGCTCTCTTTCTCTGTTTCTCATTAAGCATTAGTTATTGGGTTCACTGTGGGTTTGTCAAAGTGATGCCTCATAATATGCAAAAGGTAAGTTGTACCCTCTGGTTTTTTGATGGACTGTATTGTATGTTAAAAATGATAGGTTGGGTGGGGAAAGATCTTTGCACTTCATATGTGTTCTATTGTACACACTTGCATATATATTCTAAGATAAAGTATCTTTATGTAGGATATTCTCAGTGTGAGTCTTTTGTTTTTGTTTTTATTGGCTAATCAAATCTTTACTTCTTTTTTTTTTTTTATAATTCTGATTCCTTTCTTGTTCTTGAGTTGTGTAAGAGGAGCTAATTTAAGCCCACTAAATTATTTAGGCCCAATAGCCCAAGATTAGTGGGCCCGAATTTATCGCAAGTCCAAGATTGGTGGGCTTGGATTTATCGCCGTCAAACGGGCTAAGGATCTTCGAATATTTTCGAATTTTCCAACTCCTTTCTTGAACCCTCTCCTACAAGTTGTATTACACGTGTTTGTGTATTTTAAATTACTTCAATTTAAGACTTACTGATTCCTCTCTTAGTTTGGGCTTTGATTTGGATGAGAGAATGAAGATGGAATAAGGCTGGAGGTTGCAGAGAGAGTGTAGGTGGTTTGAAATTTAAATGTTTATTTGTTGTTTGATGAAAGGACTGTGAGAGAAGGAAATGACAGGCAAGTGTTGGGTTGCATTAGGGTCAAAATTGGAATTTTAAAAAATTTAAGTGCTGGACTAACCGAGGGTGAAGCTTTAATGCGACTTGCGTATTTTGGGAAGTAGAAAAAAAATTAATTTTTTGATATTTTTTGAAATAATGTGCAAAAAAATAGAAAAGTGATATGACCCATATAAGCCAATAAGTTGACTTTTTTTCTAATTGCCAAAATAGGCTTCAAAATATCAAGGAGGAAAATGTAATTTTTGAAACTTAGCGGCACTAGTATAATGGCAACAAACCTCAAGGGAGGTCAGTACAATTTATTCTAATAATTAATATGTATGTATATCAAACCTCAAGGGAGATCAGTATATTTTATTCTAATAATTAATATGTATGTATATCAATTTTTTTTATAGATAAAGCAGTAGATGCAATCATTTTGGGTAATTTACATTGTTGGTCCCTCTAGTTTTAGTGAGGTTTTACTTTAGTTCCTATTATTTTAAATCCCACAATTTTAATTGGGTTTCAATGTGATTCCTTTGTCAATTGTTGTTAGCGTTTTCATTGAAAAAAAAGTTATATGCGACTCACGTGACATTTTAGCAATTTCTGCTAGTTACACGGGTGCTCCTAATAATTTCTTTCAAATTCAACTTTAATCTCTCTGGTCTTGCAAGCGGTGTTTTTTCATCCTAAATGCTAATGGAAATTGGTGGAAGGACCATGTCCAAACATTATTGGACGTGGGAGGTTTAAATTGGTGAAATTATAATTATAAGGACTATTATGTAATTTAGTATGAACTATAAGAACCAAAGATGTAGTGTATCCCAATCATTTCTACATGACTATTGAAATCTAGTTTCTTAAATCTTTAGCTATATAGTGCTTACATTGTTGAATTATCCATTTTGACCCATATGCACAAATTTGAATCCATGCTAGAGCTCTTACCTAGTTAACATTTATTTTACAGGGAATTTTTGAAGAATATGACCATCCATTTGCCCTGGCATATCTGGGAACATCTCTTCTGGTACTTTACCTCCCAATAGCTTTCATCAAAGATGGTTTATGCTATTGCATGAGATGTCGGTCCAGCGATAGCAGTGACGACGAAGAAAATTCAGTTAAGCCCTCTAGCAGACTCGAGTCTCCAGTGAAAGCCGATGAGCCGGTGAATGAAGTTTCTGAAACAGTTAAAGAGGATGGAATGGAGCTTAAATCTCAGGAGGAGGGAATGGTGTTGGACACTGAAGAAATAAATAGTGGTGTTGACAAGTTGACAAAAGAGAAAGAGCTTAACAACAAGGAAATGGCTAGACTGGGGTTGTTCATTGCTCCTATCTGGTTTATTACTGAGGTGAGGCATTTTTTTGCTTTCTTGGAGATTTCTTTGACTTAATGTTGCAAGAAAAATCAGTCAAAAAAGTTCAATAGCGTAGAGGTTTAAACTTTAGACTAATAATAGAGCAATCCTAGGCTGTGTTCGATTTTGAAAGATTTGTGAAGTGAAAATAATAATAATAATAATAATAATTTTATTTTTATTTCATTCAGATTTAATTAAAGATCCAAACACAGTCTAAGTCTACTAGGAAACAACCAAAAAGGAAAATTCCAAACTAATCAAGCAATAAATAAATAAAATCAGAAAATTTTGATTGCTAAAAACTTGAAGAAACATTTCAAAATAAGATGCAACCAAAACAAAATTTTCTAGAGAAAATAATTGCAAAAAATAAAATCTCCTAAATGTAAAAATTGCAAAATTGACGAACAAAATGATGGAATATGCTTGATAAGCGCCTTAGGTCACATAAAAGTTGTGAGTTTTGACCGTTGGACCATTTCGAAGCTGATGAAAATAAAAGATGCATTTTCAAAGCTGATAAATGCTTGAGACATCCAAGAAAATACTTTATTTAATCTGCCTAATTCTTTTGATTTTCTGCATACACATTTTAACTTGTAGCATAGTTGTACCATAATTTGATTGCCCCTCCCATGCCCTTACCTGGTTGAAATTTTCAAATTATGTCATAATGATGTGGGAGTGTGGAGCCTAATTTGTGAGGCTGCTCGAGCAGGTTTGTATGCTGCTCAAGAGCACAAGGAGAAGGCCGCTCAAGTGGGTGATGAACAGTTTAGTTCACTCTAGCAGCCCTAGGCTAGCTTGAGGCAAGCCTTATATATACTTCTTTGTCACGTAAATTTTTAAATCTTGCTTTTGATTGTACTTGATCTACTTATGTACTAGATTAATTTGTGTTAGAATTTTTGAGACAGTCAATCCAAAATCAATTGATCTTATGTAGAGAGGCTCTTAGACTATGATGACTAAGTTTGGGTGGCTCAAAGAGGCAATGTAGGACAAATCTCTAACACATTCCTCCACATGCGGTCCGTCATGTCCAATACCATTTTTTTTATTTATTTATTGGCAAAAGAAGGTAATATTTTATTGCTGGAAGTAAACATTACAAAGGGGAGGAGAGAATGAAGAGCAAGGATCCTCTAGAGTGATTTTTTTCTAAAGTTTCCTAGAGTGTCACATTGTGTGGTTGAGATTTACTGGCAAGTCACATCAATTTTTCTGATGTGACTTGCCAATAAATCTTAACCACACAATGTAGCACTCTAGGAAACTTTAGGAAAATTTCACTCTAGAGGATCCTTAGTGGAGAATGAAGGACAAGTTCAAAATCAATTGGTAGAGGCCCTTAAACTATATTAACCAAGTTCAAGCGTCTTAGAGGCAATGTGGGGCAAGTCTCTAAAACCAACTTGCACATGCGGTCTGGTCACATGTGGAGGTGAAAGGGAGATGAGAGACTACAGAAACAGACCCGATACAAAGATTTGGCCAAAAAGAGACCACTCAAGATGTTTTGATACCATATTAGAATTTTGGAGGTATCTAAATTATAACCAATTAGCAATGGATGAAGAAGCCTTTAGAGTATATTAACTTAGATTGAGTGGCTTGGACAGACCATTTAAGAGAAGTCTGTAACAGTTTGTTTGTGTGTTTTTTCAAAGATCCTGGTGTTAAAACATACTGCCATGGTTAATCTACAAAGAATTACCATATGTATTCATCTTATGTTATTGAATTCCTTGTGGAATTTTTAAGATTGACAAGTGTTGATCATTGATTTTTGTTGTGTGCAGTATTTAACAAATGCTGCACTGGCGCGAACGAGTGTTGCCAGTACAATGGTGTTGTGTTCAACTTCAGGGCTTTTCACTCTCTTCATTGGTGCATTTCTGAGACAAGACTCCATAAATGTGGTGAAAGTAGTCTCTGTTGTTGTCAGCATGGCCGGTGTTGCCATGACAACACTTGGGAAAACTTGGTCCACAGACCAATCTCGTTTGAGCAAATCCACGTAGGTTTGTTTTTACCTTAATCATTTATTTATTTTTTGTTTTCATTGCTTAATTTTTATGTTGACACAAAGCTATACACAAAATACAAAATACACATAAATGGATAAGATTTTACAAAATTGTTGGTAGGGTTCACTTTTGAAAATTCTTGCCTGTCTATATAATTTTTGTGCCTAGTTCTGTGGTCAATTTCTGTATTCCTAGACAGACTTAATTCTTTTTTGATAAGCAAATGATGATTAATTTCTTGTGTTCAGAAATGGGAAGCATTCACTGGTTGGAGATCTATGTGCTCTTCTCTCAGCCATGACTTATGCACTGTTTACTGGTTCAACATCTCTCCCCCTGTTCAAATAGTTTTTTTAAAGATAAAATATACACATGATTCCTAAATATTTGTTTTCTGTCACTCTGGTTCTCCAAATTTTGAGTCAAATGATCAAATTGGTACAATTTTAAATGGACGTTATAAATCATTAAGAGAATCATAATAAAATACACCTATGGTCACTAGAACTTTCATTCTATGTCACCTTAGACCTGAAAGCTGTAATTTTTTCTCAATTTCAATTTAAATGGACCATAGGTGTATTTTGCTATCATTCAGTTGACAAATTAGACGGTTAGTTGATATTTGATCAATTTGTCTCAAATTAGTAAATTTAAGAGCGACATTGATAAAATTAAAATTAGAAGAACCAAAGTGTCACAAAACGCGTATTTCAGATGTATGTGTATTTTATCATCTTCTTTTCAATCTTCTGAAAATGGATAATCATGATTATTTGACTTACAACAATTACCATCTTGCAGTGCTTCTAAAGAAGTTTACAGGAGTAGAAGGAAAAAGAGTAGACATGCAAAAGTTATATGGATATATTGGATTGTTCACGCTTATTACCCTTTGGTGGCTCAGTAAGTGCAGAAAGCTGCAAACCTTTTCCATACTTTAGTGATAATTACTTGCAAATGCTCTATGATACACTCTGCTCAAAATTAGACATGCCTTTAACAGAGTTCCTACTCTGTCAGAGCAATTTTACTATTCATTGTCAAAACTATAATTTGAAAAGTTACAGAATCAAAATGTCAAAAAATTAGCAATGTTCCTTCATTGGTGCAAATGCCATTTTGACACATTCAAACCATTGTTTATTTCTGTCAGTCATACCATTATAAAATCTTAGGTGAGTTTAATTGGCACAAATGGTATTGTCAAACCTTGTACTAAATTTGGCATTGTTAACTTTTTACTGTCTTTTTGACAAGCCGCCAGAGAAGGTTTTTCGTGTGGATTGTTATAATTGGACAATGGCAGTCACTATAGAAGCTCACTGAAATTACTCTTAAAATACATTTTGTTGATTCTGTCAAATTGGTATAGTTTTAAATGGAATGTCTAAATGATTAACAGAATGAAATATGTGAGGGAGATTTCATAATCTGGCTTTGGGCTGTGGGGATGATCGGGCTAAAAAGAGGTCCGAGCGTGTTTGGGCCGAGCTAACGTTGGCTAAACTAGAGCGGATTGCTCGGTTGAGGTCCAGGGCCCATTCGGCCGAGATGATCGTCTGTCAACCCAGGCTTATTGTTCGCTCATGTAGCTCGGCAGAAAGGTCTCTCACGGATCAGCCTAACCTGTCTAGAGCTCGGCCGTACTGGAATGCTACCGAGCTCAGTTGTGATGGAGCTCAGCGAGTGGCACTGTTGGACTCGTTAAGTAGCTCGGTCGAAGGAGGTCGGGGTGATGCCGCCGGGCTGCCGAGTTCCCGCTAATGTTGTCTGGCGGTTTGGTTAGGTGGTGTTCGCTAGATTTGTGTTGACAGATGGAAGAGCAGCTCCACGTGTAAAGAGACTAATGGGTGCAGAGTTAAGCGCAGAAAGTATATAAGCATGACTGCGCCCCCCATGCCGAGGATGGAACATCATTTGGTGAGAAACACTCTTTGTGATTTATCTCTCTCTTCCTCTCTCTCTCCCTGAGTGTGTGCTAACTTGACCGTCAGAGGGATTTTCCGGCCACACACCGCCGGGTAGCTCACCGCCGTTGTGCTCGCAGGTCGATCGGATAGACAAGGAGCTTGAACGAAAGGAGTACGGGCTCCGCGGAATATTTGCTTCCCGTACAATTGGCGCCGTATATGGAAAGAGTTCAACAAACAAAACCTTGTCTTCCAAGCTCATCTGATCGCTTTCAATGACGAACAACGACGAAATACCATTGTCTGCCATTAACGGTGTTACCCCAGAATCAGCCAGACGGAGAGACGGACTCCCCACCGTTAAGAACATGGCGGACCTGGAGACTTCCCCAGGAGGACATTCAAGAGATGCGCGAGATAAGCGCGGTAGAAGTTTTGGTCATTCAAGGAGCCCAGACGGACACTGGCGGGGAAGAGAATCGCACGCTAGACGTTTGGAGCACAAGTTAATGGACCAAGACACCGTTATTCAGAGAATGGCGGCAAAGATGGAAGCTCTCAAACGCCAGGTCAAAGGGAAGGGTGTTGCTAGAGTGGGAGCCCACAGTGAGCGCACCCACCCCCGCCGTTCAGGCAGCCAGAGCCAGTGGCGCACTCCCTCCCTTTCTATCACCAGAAGCTATAGAGGTGGAGACCTAGACACGCCTGCAGAAAAGTCTAGCGCGTAAGATAGTACCTACCATCCCTCACGTCCGTCGACCACTTCAGGATATTCTTACTCCGTCCGTTCAGAGGACTTGAGGGATGTCCTGAAGGAGCGAGCTCGCCGACGGGAGGCTGAAAGGGTGCCGGCGTTCCAGCGGTTATCTTATAGGGGTCACACCAGGAGGAGGTCATAATGCCGCCACCCCGCTCGGCCGTGCCTGTCCCTCTAGACACAGATTTGGCGAGGCTAAACGCCACCCCCTTCTCCCTTGAGATAGAAACCACACCGCTCCCGCGGGCTTTTACCAGCCTAAGTTTACGCTTTACGACAGAAAGACTAATCCATACATGCATGTAAGCCATTTCCGGCAGGTCATGGCCGGACATAGGCGCAATGACGCTCTTATGTGCCTTATTTTCCCGTCGAGTTTGGGCGAGCTGGGCTTAAAATGGTTTGAGAGGCTGCCGGAGGGAAGCATCGAAAGGTGGCAGCAGTTGACGGAAGCCTTTGTGACTCGTTTCAAGACCAACACTAAAACGCCAAAGGTGGTGGACCACTTTCTCAGTGTCAAAATGGAGTCGAGCGACACACTCAAGGCATACAACTCCAGATACTGGGAAACCTTCAATGAGATTTTAGATTGCTCAATCAACCTGCCAATCACCCAATATAAGCGCGGTCTCCCAATCGGACATAGGCTGCGAGACTCGCTCACCATGAACCAGCCGACATCCATGGGCCAACTAATGCAGCGCATCAATGAGCACATCTGAGTAGAGGATGATGCGGCGGTGTCCACTATGAAGACAACTCCGGTGGTAACAGACAATAGGTCTGCTGGCAAGGTACACGCGGTCGGATAGGAGACTAACCGTCCAAATGATCGCGCCGAGGAATCTGACCGTGGGTCAAATCATCGAAACCGGGGAAGGGGTCATCAGAATAACTGAGCTGAATACCCCCGCGATGACGTAGCTGATGCTGACAGAAGGTTGAAAGCTCGGACGGTCATCACCACGGTCTTTAAGATTCCAATCTATCGCATACTTAGTGAAATCCGTGATGAGGATTACGTCTGGTTTCCTGCTAAGTTAGGCGACGTGCAAAAGGGCTTTAATCCGTGGTATCGCTGCACATATCACGGGGAGCGAGGACACTGAACAGAGGACTGTTTGCCTCTAAAGCAACACTTGGAGGAGTTAGTCGCAGCCGGACACTTAGATCTTTACATTGATAAGGGTGTTAAGGCCGCACATCCCGCCCTGGCTGATCCTCATGGACTGGATGACTTGGAGGCACCCCCTCAATGAGTGGTTAATGGGATCCATGGCATAGTGGAGCCGGTGCGTGTATGCGAGTTTCGAGGAATGATCAAAAAGGCAGAACACATGAGGGAAGTTTTGTCAATCTAGCCCGCGATCAAAAGGGGGAAGACCGAGGAAAAAGACGTGATTAGTTTCTCCACAAGGGACCTAGAGCGTAGTCAAATGCCACACAACGACGCCCTAGTGGTCACCCTTCGCGTCAAAGAGTTCGATGTCAAGCACATCTTGATTGACCAGGGAAGCTCGGTTGAAATTATGTACTACAACGCGTTCAAACAACTCAAATTTTGAGATACAGACTTGGCTTCGGCAACTTCGCCACTGGTAGGTTTCAATTCGCAACCGGAGTGGCCTTTGGGAAAAATAATTTTACCGGTAAAAGCCGAATCTGTGGTCAAGCAGGTGGAGTTCTGGGTATTGCAGGTGCCGTCTACATACAATTTGATCCTCGGTAGGGGCTGGCTTCACGCTGTGCAAGCTGTAGCGTCGACCTACCACCAGGTTATGAGATTTCCCTCGGCTATAGGGGAAATTGAGGAAATTTGGGGCGATCAAGTCACGTCGAAGCAATGCTTCGTGGCAGTGAACGAGAGCCGGGCTGCCAAAGGCATCGTGGAAATGATTGAAGGCCTAGAAAACCAGAGTGTCCTTGATGACGTGGGCACCAGGGCCAAGGACAAAGCTGTTGAAGAATTGGTAAAAGTACATATCGACACGGAAAGTCCAAACAAGTTCTTTTTGCTCGGATCAATCCTGACCGCTCAAGAAATGACCGAGATGGTAGAGTTCTTGATGGCAAATATCAAAGTCTTCGCATGGTCGCCCTATGACATGCCTAGCATCAATCCAAGTTTTATTTGCCACCAACTCAATGTTTTCCCTGATGCACGGGCTATTCAGGAAGTGCACTACCCTCGGTGGATTTCAAACACGGTCGTAGTACCCAAGAAGAATGGGAAGTGGCGAGTTTGTATCGACTACAAGACTGTCAACCGAGCTTGCCCTAAAGACAGCTTTCCTCTGCCCAGAGTAGACCAGCTAGTGGATTTAACGGCCGGACATGAAAGGCTCAGTTTCTTGGATGCCTACCGCGGTTATCATCAGATTTCCATGCATGGCCCCGACCATGAGATAACCACTTTCATCACTCCAAGGGGGCTCTTCTGCTATCGAGTCATGCCTTTTGGTTCGAAGAAGGCTGGGGCAACTTTCCAAAGGATGGTAACCAAAATGTTTGCCCCTCTGCTAGGCCGGACGATGGAGGCTTACATCGATGATATGGTGGTCAAAAGTAGACATTAGGTAGACCACTTGTCCGACCTAGCCAAGATGTTCGCCATTCTCCAGCAGCACAAGCTACGCTTGAATATGTCCAAGTGTGCCTTCGGCGTGGGATCCGGGAAATTCCTAGGCTTCCTAGTCACAAACCGAGGCATCAAGGCAGACCCCACACAAATCAAAGCCATACAAGAATTAAAGCAACCCAACTCAGCAAAGGACATGCAGCATCTGACCGGAATGGCCACCACGCTTAATCGATTCATAAGTCGATCATCAGATCGCTACCGCCCTTTCTTTCGAGCCCTGAAATCTAAGTTTTTGTGGGACAAGGAATGTGACAGGGCTTTGGCCGAGCTAAAGGCGTATCTGTCTTCTACTCCATTATTGGTGACACCAAAGCCCAACGAAGAACTCTACCTTTATCTGGCCGTTTCTTAGCATGCAGTTAGCGCAGTGCTTGTCCGGTCAGAAAGAATCCAGCATTTTCCCATCTTCTACGTGAGCAAAACCTTGCTACCAGCAGAGTCGAGATACTTGCCGTTGGAAAAACTTGCCTTGGCGTTTATGATGGCCTCTAGGAAATTGGCGCACTATTTTCATGCTCACACAATCATCGTTTTGACCGAGTTCCCACTCAAAGCCTTGTTCGAGCGAGCGGATTTCTCCGGTCGAATCCTCAAGTGGCCGGTCGAATTGGGATAATTCGACGTCAAGTTCCAACCCTGAACTGCCATAAAAGCACAGACATTGGCCAATTTCCTTACTGAATTCTCACCTGGAATTCATCTAGTATGCCCGGTGGACCTTGCCACGGCAGCCGAGGAGGTGAATGCAGGCTCGCCAGAAATTGCACAGCAGGGCGATGTTGGCGACACAGAACTTGCGCGCCCCGCCATAGAACCTCTAGCCGGCATAGTACTGCAGCCTGGCGATACGACTCCAGACTTGGGCATGGCAAATCAACCTGTTGGGTCCAATGCTGCATCGCCGAGGGGGGATGAAATGGAACCAAACGGCAGCGAACCAGAAACCGAACAGCCGAGCAACCGTGATTCCATCAACCTTCAAGCTTCTCAGGACCCCTCAGAGTGTTGGAAGCTCTTTGTCGGCGAAATGTGGAAACTTTTTCTAAGAGGAGCCTTAATCGTCACGTGCAGGGCTGGGCATAGGTTGATCTACCCAGATGGTCTGACATCAACACTCTATCACACTCGGATTCCCTCGTCAAAACAATGAGGGCTGATACGAGCGCTGCTGTCGACTGAGAGCGTGCTCCAGGTGCGCGCATCGAGCTGATGGTTACAGCGATTCCCAAACTTGTGGTCAACCAAGTGTCTGGCCAGTTACGAAACTAAAGATGACAGAATGGAAAAGTGCCAAGCGTCTAGTAAAGACCACATCAAGCAGCCATCCGATAAGGTCCAACAAATTCGACGAGAAGAAAACAGCTGCGCGGTATGAGTAGCGATCTGGCTTCCATGCGTCAACAAACGATCCCTATCTTCTCTCTTGCAACTGTGGAGTTCGTCATGTTCCAAGAGTCCTAGCTATCATAGAGGAATCTTCCGACAACACAGCAGTACTAACT